TGTAAGAACAAGATACCTTTAAGATACACTCATTGAATATATGAATATTGATATCGACATTGCTATAAATATTATATTGATATTGTAATTAACAATAATATTGTTTATTGTCATTAATACTATTTAGCATTATTGATCATGATACTAATATTATTACTGGCATGAGTATTGTTACTGTTATTGATATTGTGATTGATGATGTAATGGATTAAAATATGATGAACTATAGAAGGATAAATTGATACAGATAATTAGTATAAATATTGATACATATATTTCTTTATATGATTTATTGCATATTATTCTATTTTATCTTGCATTGATTTTAGATGTAAGATTTTAGTTACTTCCTGAGCTATGTGCTCATTATATATTTTTACATATTTGTAAGGATGATATGAGACTCCAAATATGATAAAAATATAATCATATTTATTTCTATTGTTCATTGATAAGCTCTAGTTAAAATGAAAGACAGATATAATTCTTCTATATAGATCCCAGAATGTCGGTACTATGAGAGAGCCGACTAATGTAAGGCACTTTCCTTATATAAGAAAGAATTTGCTACATGTTGAAGCTTTGGAGACCGAGGGCTACAAGGAAGTCATTAAGGCAGGAGTTTTGAAGATATATCATGGAGCACTGGTTTATCTGAAAGGAGTTCATCACCATAATATTTACTACCTTCAGGGAAGAACCGTGATTGAAACGACTGTTGTTGCTGATATTCTTCTGACACCACTATAATATGGTATATACGGCCAGCTCATACTGGAGAGGCTTCTCTTATGACTTTGGTGAAGTAACGATTGATCAAAGGAGTAAGCACCTGCAAGCTCGATCTTTGTGAACATTGTGTGTTTAGCTAAAAGACAGGTGTATCATTTGGTACTGCCAACCATAGTACAAAGGATATCTTAAAGTATGCTCACAAATATGTTTGGGGCCTGACAAAGATAACACATTCAACGAGAGGTGATATTTTGTCTCTATTGTTGATGATTACTCCGTATATGTTTGGGTGTACACCATGAGGCATAAGAGCGAGGTATTGGATATTTTTAGGATTTGAAAGATGTGGATTGAAACTCAGACTAGCAAAAGGATATGATGTATCAGATCAGATAATGAGAGAAAATACACTACAGATGCATTCTTATAAGAGTGCCAAAGATATGGGATATAGCACCACTTCATAGTTAGAGAGATATCGCGGTAGAACAAGGTGACAGAGAGGATGAACTGAACTTTGGTGGAGAAATTTTGGTGTATGTTATCCAATGCTGGGTGGACTAGAGTCTATTGGGCTGAGGTAATAGATAATGTCTGTCACTTGGTGAACCGTCTTCTTTTTGCAGTTATTGGGAAGAAAACCCTAAATGAGATGTGGTCATAGCATCCTGTTAGAGATTATAAGTACTTGAGGATGCTTTGGCGTCCAACTTATTATCATGTTCATAAAGTTAAACTGGAACCAAGGGTAAAGATGAACATTTTTATTGGCTTTAGGCTTGGAGTCAAGGGCTTCAAACTCTATGATCCAGTAAAGAAGAAGAATGTCATCAGCAAGGATGTTACTTTTGATGAGGCAAGCATGTTGAAGCCTCAAGGCTCTAAGCAGGTGGAGAGTTTTACTGGGACCACATATTCACCACATAAGCTGGAGTCTATGATGCATCGACACTCCGCTTAAAGATGGTATGCAGCGTCGGACACGGACACGCATCCGACACTGCATGGACACGTGTCTGACACTGTATTGGAGTGTCATAATTTAAAAAATTAAAATTCAAACCGGACACGCACACGCGTGTCCGATTATTAAATAATAAAATCGTCTTTTCAGCAAACGGGAAGCCCTATTTTTTCGATCCATAAAATAAATCTTCTAGGGCAGACCAGACGAGCTCACAGCATATGCCAAACGGAGGACGATGCCTTCGCCTCCCGTTCCTTCGTCATTTCTGCTCGAGCCGAGGCCAAGCTGAGCTCGTCTTTCCCATTCGTTCATTCTTGCGTGATTTCTATGGTCAGCCGAGGCAAAGTTCGCAATCAACGCCAAACAGAGCACCTTCTGCGCGCAAGAGAGTCAAGACATGTAAGTGGATTTTGCCATTTCTTCTCTTCATTATTAAAAATGTCTACATTAATTGAAATATTAATTATTGTTTTTTTTTTTAATTTACTAAAAAAAAGCTAATGTGCATGCTCGGTACTGCTAGGTATCGCTAGGTACATGCTCGATGCCGCTCAGTACATGCTCGGTACCGCTCGGTACATGCTCGGTACCGCTCGGTACATGCTCGTACCGCTCAGGTCGAACCCCGCTAGGGGGCAACACCCCCTGGCGGGGTTCAACAATATACCAGCCAGGTCGCGGGGTCAAGGGGCAGCGCCCCTGCAGGGGTTTCCGGGGGCAGCGCCCTAGGAACAAAATTTTATTATAAGAGTAATTTTTGAAATTCTGCTTGTTTTTAAAGTTCATAAGTTGTTTGTATGGAAAGATACCGAGCGGTACCGAGCATGTACCGCTAGGTACCGGGCGGTACTGGCTCGGTACCGAGCGGTACTGGCTCAGTACCGAGCATGTACCTAGTGGTACCGAGCATGTACCACTCGGTACTGAGCATGTACCGCGAGGTACCGAGCATGTACCGCTCGGTACCAGGCGGTACTAGCTCGATATCGAGCGGTACATGCTCGGTATCGAGCCAGTACCGCTCGGTACCGAGCATGTACCACTCGGTACCGAGCAGTACTGGCTCGAAAGATAAGGAATTTGTTCTTCGCTGTGAGCTCCGTCGAATCCTAATGAGGCGTCGCCTCACGCTGCCTCAAGGCGTTACGCCTCGCTAAAAAAATCGCACACCTCGTCAAATAAATTGAGGCTTAAGCCTCAAGGCGCCAGGTTAGCGCCTTGAATTGAGTCGAGCCTCTGTTCGGACGCCTCGACCGCTTTTTTAATCGATGCCTTGACCCATGGTTACTTGACAATTGTAGTAGAATATGATTTGATTTTGAAGCAGCTCGATCCAAACATTGCATTTAGCATTGTCAGCATGTTCATACATGGTACAAGAAGGAGTCATTGGCAAGCTGTGAATAGTATCTTGAGGTATTTAAAGGGTACAATTGATACCAGTTGATACAGGCTTAGAGATGCAGTCACTATGGCAGTGGTGCAAGACTCATGACTGATTGTCCACTTGTTTGAATAATTCCACTCAGCTTGGTCCCTTGGAAAGGAACAATTATTACGTCAGGTGACCTGACGTAGTTCTACGTTCGGACGTCAATAACATGTCGCCACGTGGTCTTACTCAATACCGCGCGGCCCGACGACTTGACCCGGAATTGCTATGTTTGCGTATTGCTCGGTATTGATCTAGGTATTACTAGGTATTGCTCGGTATTGCTAGGTATTGCTTGGCAATAATGAAAAATATCGCTCTGTGAAGACCAATACCGAGCAATACTGAGTATACCGAGCAATACCGAGAAAAACTCGGTATTGCATGGTATTTCTCGGTATTGGTCTTCACATAATGGTATTTCTCATTATTGCCGAGCAAAATCGATCAATACCGAGCAACACCTAGTAACACGCGAACATAGCAATCCCGTCTCTATTCCGGGTCGGGGTTGTTGGGCCGCGCGGTAAATAGTGAGAACACGTGGCACTATTTTACTGACGTCTGAAAGTAGAGCTACGTCAGGTGACCGGACCAAATAAAAGTTCCTTGGCATACGTAGGCAACCATCTGAGTGTAGTCATTTAGATATTGGAGCCTGATTTGTCATCTTCCACTTTCTGAAGTGAAACATGAGGGAAAGATTATTGATTTGGAATTCTTTCTAAATTCAAATCAGCTTTGATTTGGAAGACTTTGATGGCTCCAAACCAGCCTTGATTTGGAAGACTTCAATGGCTCAATTATATAATTAATTAGGGAGTGATTATTTCCCTAATTAATTTGATTTAATTTGAGATTTAATTATTTAAGTTATGTGATGATTACTCTTATTAAATCAAGGCCATGAGATCTATTTCATCCTCCTTGAGGCTAAATTAATAGCCTCGTAGGATCAGGTTATCAGGTAACCACCTCGTTATTATTAAGTTGATTATTTCCTTAATTAATTTGATTTAATTTGAGATTTAATTAGAGTTTTAATAGTAATCGAACCCTTGACATTCAACATATTGTCTCAACATTCGAGTCAATCATTAACTACAAAAAAAAAACTAAGAAACTTTCATTGCCACATTGATTCATATCATGATAAATAATTCACCAATAGAAGGACTATGAAAATCGGCGAGCAAAACATGTTTGAGATTTTATTCTAAAATATATAGAAATCATACTCTATAGTATACATTCAGATGATTGGATCATGATGAGATTTAGCAAATGAATTGTATCCAACATCACAATTACGAGAAGGAAAAGCAACATGAAACCCTCATATCAAATACATTTACAAATGTTTAATCAAAGTCTTCAAGCATAGCTATTTAAAAGATGAAAACTATGTGCGAGGATGAAGCATGGGTATTCATAATCAAACATTCCAACTTGCTCTTGATTAGTGAGAATTCAAACAACACATGCATCTTCAAATATGATTTCCAAACATACAAACATCTTTTGCTTTGAATCAAACAAAAGAACTTGTACCACCTCTTAACAAACAATAACACAAACACTTTGCATACATATATATTTTTTAAAAAAAAAGAATAACATGACTCATAATTTTTCAAAAGCTATACATAAAACTTCGAATCACATGACATGAATCATAACAAATATAAATTTCAATATACCAACTATTCATTTCCAAACAATCTATATCAACATGAATCGTCTACTTGGAGAAACAAACATTATTGCTATAGCTTCTTACACCATAAAGAAGAAATAGGAAAAAGGAAATGGAGGAGAAAGGAAAGATGAAGAAGGAAATAGAAAAGAAGAAGAAGGAGGAATCACCTGCTTGCCAGAGGAGACCGGAAGCTAGGGCTCGCGAACGAGGGGCGGCGGATAGGTCCGGCAGGTTCGGCCTGCTCCTGGGATTTGCTAAAGAAAGATGGCGAATAGGGAGGAAGAGGGGTTGGCGTCGTGTGTCTCAGATAAGAGACGGGAGAGGGAGAGCTGGAGTGCGAATGGAATAGCCGAAGGCGAGGGGGCTTCCGTCTGGCTGGAGTCATCCTGTCTTCCGATGCATGCCATCAAGTGATAGCGGGAAATTGCTTAGAAAATCAAATCAAACCATGCTTATAGAAATTAATCTAATTTGGGTCAAACTTGGGTCCCAACTTGAACCCAATTTGACTCAAATTAAGTTGATTCAGGTTTAATACAGTTCGATTAAATTAATTTGGTGGTATTGAACTCGAATCGATCGATTTAGATCAAATTGCATTCGAAGAGTCTCACGAAGATTAATAGAGCCTGACCGAACTCGAGTCGCCTCGAATGCAAATTGGGCTCGACAAGGCTCAATTAAATTAATCGAACATGCTCAAAAAGAATGCAAGCAAAAAATGAGGTCAATAGTTTGGCCAATGGAAATTAAACCAAAAATCTAATAAAGAAGGATGTTCAGTAGGAATAAATCAACTGGAAAAAAAAAAAGAAAGAAAGATTTGCAGCAGGAAAATACAAATTATTTGGTATTAGCTCAGACTAATTGATCTTGTAGACACTTATAAACTATCCATTGAAATTATATGATATGATAATTCATGTTAATGAGATAAAGGCTTCGTTTGGGACCGCTATTTTACTGCTTCTTAAAGTAATTTTTTAGTACAAAATTTTAAGAAGCAGTAAGAAACATATCTCAAATGAAATCAAAGTTGAACAACTTTAAATAATAGAAGTCGTATAAATTCATTTTTTTACAAATAAACTTAACGATAAGATATTTTTTGTATTTCATAAAGAATAAATAGCTTTTTTCATACAAAGTAAAAGGAAATACAAGTTATAAATCTTTAATGATGTGATTCTTTCAATATTTTCTGTAATTAACACAATTTGTACCTTGCTACCCAATTCTTCATGTTTATTCCATTTATAATAGTAGTGCTAGTTGATATAGCATTAAAAAATTATCTTGATCGGGCACAAATATCGAGGCAAAATCAAGTTTGAATCTTAAAAAATTAAGTTCGGGACCATCTGAACTTCTATTTTAGCAAACTTACTGTCGAGCTGAACAACTCAAAATACAAACACAACGACATCAAATTTGACTCAATCCGAGCCTAAATAGGTCCAAATCAAAGACCTGAAGCACATTTAGAAGGTTCAAAACATAATTTGGATTACCAAATATTTTTTAAATATGACATGCTTATAGTCGAATTAAGCAGCTCGACGAGACAAATCCAAATAGCCCAAGATCGTCAAATGTTGATATCATTAAGACATTTAAATGCCCAATAAACAGTCCACGATCAAGGGATTCAACATCTGTCGTACATCCAAACATCTCCCAATTTATCCTTAATCTTCCTCCTATTTATAATTCATGTCACTCTCATAAATATGCAAATAGATCATTCACTTCTCATGAAAGGGGACCCCCAAGCAAGGAAGCAAGAAGAAAGATGGGAGATTGTTCTTGCCACTTAGCTCCTCCTCGACCACCACCCAAACTTTCGACGGACCACCGCTTGTTGTCGGACTTCCGCTAGGCCACCGCCCGACACCGGATTTCTATTGGACCACCAACTGATGTCCGGACTTTCACCGGACCACCGCCAACGCTGAACATCTGCCCGACGCCAGACTTTCGCTGGCCGTCAAACTTTCACCGGCCACCGAAGGATGCAAGACTTCTGCTCGGCCACCGACTGTCATCAGACTTTCTCTCTGCTGCAGACTATCATCGTAGGACTTTTGTCAGACCTCCGGTCGGCTCACAACTATCGCCGGAATTACACTCGGCCACCAACTGACGCCGAACTTCCACCAAACAACGGTCATTCTAACCTCTTTTACCAGATTATGATCTTTCTTATAACAACCAAAACTCTTAACAAGTTAAATTCTTGTTCTTTCATCTACCAATGTTTTCTTCAAGATTACTCCACATTAATATTATATTGATCTTATTTACTTAACAAAAATGATAAAAGGATGCTTCAACATCTTCTACCTTTCTGAAAATTATAAGATATTCTCTCCCAGTGAAAGAAGAATATCCCACTATTACAAAAGGAAAATGTTGCATAAAATTATTTTGGTGGATGAACAGTTTTTTGTTTGTAAGAAATGGAGCTGTTCCCTAATGAATTAAGAATCATGCCTTAATAGTAAGCGTTGAGTCAGTGTTAACTTTATAGGAAAGCAACTGTATATCTTCTTTTACAAATAGTTACTCAACTGCGACCGTTGGTTTCAGGGCAACAATGAGAAAAATGACTAGCATTTTTTTTTTCTGTAAGTGATAACGTCAGAAAAATAGTAAGTGTTGCAGAAATGAGGATGCTTAGGTGGATGAGTAGCTTTATCCTTAGAGATAGGATACTAAATGAGCATATAGATGATAAGGTTGGAGTAGCTCCAGTGGAAGATAAGATTAGAAAGAGTCGTCTTAGATGGTTTGGTCACATTAAACGGAGGCCTTCTGATGACCCGGTTAGAAAAGTTGAGGTATTAGATTTGATTTATGTTAAAAAAGATAGAGGTAGACCGAAAAAGACTTGGTTAGAAAATATTAGAAAAGATCTTTCTTTACTAGATTTAAATAAGAATTTGACTTTTAACAGGACATAATGGCGAAAAAGGATTCATGTAGCTGACCTCATATAGTGGGACAAAGGCTTAATGTTGTTGTTGTTGTTGTTGTTGTAAGTGATAACTTGACAAAATCGTACTAACGTTAAACATGGTAGCAAATACCAGTAGGAGCCAAATTAGAGTAACCCAAAAATTAAAATCCTTCACTCCCACATAACTTATTATCCTGGACCAAACAAACAAGATGGCAGGTAAACCGCTATACACCTTCATGACAAACACCTCAGCTTCTTTTCTGCTGTTCATCAAGCTCATAATTGCCTGAGCACGAGGGGCATCATTAATCATGATTCCTTGCATAATTCCACAAAACTCTCTTGCAGTCACAGGCCATGAGTATTTTTCCTGGCTTGTCTACCAAGAATCCTGTAGGCTTACATGACCTATCACCACACAGCATTTTACTACTTTTTCCCCATGCATTTCTTTTGGTGAAGTTAAAAATGGAAAAATATTGATAATTTTCTAGCTGTTATCATGCACAAATAGGGCTGTCAATATTTGACATGACACGAAAACTCGATTCGAATTCAACTTGGAAATTTCGGGATAGACCCGACCAGATTTCAAAACGGGTCGGATTCGAGTTGACCCGACGGGTTGCCGGATTGAACCTGTTTAAAATGAGCCAACCACTGCCCGAGCCTGCCCGCACTTGCCCGCAGCTGACCACGCACCTGCCCGCTCGTGTCTGCATCCATCGTCCAGCCCCCCTGCCACATGCAGCCCATCGTTCAGCCGCCCCGCCGCAGCCAGAAGCTCAACCGTGTCGAGTCGGGTCAACCCGGAAACCTGATGGGTCGGGTCCGAATACAAATTTTCGACCCCTTTATATACTCGGGTCGGGTTATGGTCTACCCATTTGAAACCGGGTCAATTCCGGGTTCGACCCGAAACCCGATTTTGACACCCCTTTGCACAAGCATCAGAATAGAATAATTTTAGTTTTTTACTTTCTTTGCCTAAGTTCAAATTTAACCACAATTAAGTTAGACAAGGAATTTCCTCTAGGATTCTTAGATGAAGACAACAAAAAGTGAATATTGTCAGAATGTCAGTTCATAAATACTAAGCCCCGAAATGTACGTGTATGTCCCTAATATCATTTACATGTATCATTTAAGTTGGAATGGACCAGCACATGCCAGAATTTCTCCAACTAAATTAATACGCTGGAGCCATGCACACAAACAGACACCAGACTGATGGAAGAAGGGACCCCATTCTACTGGTGTTTGAGAAATGGTCCTGTTTCTCTCCTTTCAGCTTCAAACAAGTGGAAAGTTACACCTATATCATGTAACAGTGACAACAAAAAGTACCCAGAATGATTAAAATGCTCAAAAACGGAAGCAAGAATCATTGTATACTCTCAAGAGCTCTTGGCCTCAGTTACCTTCTTATCTACAACTTCTTTTTTAACCTTCTTTCTTAAGGTGGAAGACCTTCATCTTGAAGAAATTAGGTATCAGCATCCTCAATTATATGTTCTAATATTTCATAGAAAAAGAACAAAATTCTTAAAATTAATGCTACTCACAAGTTGTCCAAACTAAATATTATAAGTCCATCACAAGCCACATGACAAGCCGTAGCTAGATCATAGCAAATGCCGGGTATGGGTGTCAATTTCGGGTGAAGGGTCAGGTTCGGGTCAAACCCGAAACTGACCCGGCACTATTTGAGTCAACCCGAATCCGACCAGTTTTTGCAAACGGGAAGATTTTTAGGACCTGAACTTGACCCGCTTCGGGTCCGGATTAACCCGACCCACTTTAGGTCCGGATCAACCCGACACGACCAGAATGACCCGGTGCCAACAAAAAACTTATAGTTTTTGAATAAAAAAATAGATCAATATCCGCTTTTCGGGTAAAAAACGGATCAATCTCAGGTTGCCGGGTCAAAATGGGTTTTGTGTCAAAAAAAATAAATTTTGGATCAAAGTTTCAACCCGAACACAATCCGGTTTTTAAAACGTGTCGAATTGTTGAACACGAATCCGACCCGTTTCGAGTTTGTGTTGGCCCTAAGCCAAAATTTTCGGGTCGGGTTCAAGTCGGATTTTCGGGTCGTATCAAATATTGACACCCCTAATGCCGAGTGCCATGGGCAGCACAAAATGGCGAAACTAGTGCTGCCCTTTCTATAAATAATATCATGCTAGAGAACAGATATATAAAGATTGTGGAAAGATACACCTGGGGCACCACAACTGAGACATGATTGATAGGTTATTATTTCATATATAGCTACAATCTTCACTACAATGACAGAAGCCTACATATAGACCTCCAAGTGTAGTACAAATCATGTGGAGGAGAAGCCAGGCTTTTCTAAATTGATCAGGACGTGTGACTCTCAAATGGAATTCTAGTTCAGAATCCAAAGAAGGTTCAGCATCAAAGACTTACATCAGTACAGAGACAACAAAGAAACTTTATTGCTATAAGATTCTACTGGCGAAGTACAAGTGGTTCTTAAAGCACTTGACTTAAGACTTCTCCCACTAACTAAAATGTGCTTGTAATTTACCCCATTGGAACTCTAGTCACCAAAACTATGTAACTAAAAAACCGCACTAATTAGCATAATGAGCTAATGCAGCACTAACCTTTGGATAGCTAATAATACCATTATTGTCACCATTGTGGGGACCCTGTCATGAAGAATAAGACACTTTGAACAATGGAAAGGCTTCTCCACCTCGGCAATTTCCTATTATTGCGCATGTTAAGCAGTTCTCTGGAGTAATAATGCCCAATTAAGGGCTAACATATCACATTACCAATCACCCAGTCAATCCTTTCAAAGGTTTTTTCGTTTAAGATGTTAGAGAGAGAGAGAGATCAAATTGAAGTTCTTAGATTGACCCATGATGGCAGAGCTACCTAGGTGATCCAATGGACCAAATGAAAAATACTGTAAGGCAACTAAAAACAGGTAAGATTATAGCTTTCTCCAGAATCGTTCAATTCAACTTTAAAGGAAGTTTCCTTCTCTTTTTGTAGATCAATTGGTCAGGAAGCACATCATGGAACAAGCTTCTTACCTGATTCTCAAGAATAGACTTTTGCAAGTCCTACTTGCTAATGAAGTGCAGTGGCCAGAATAACTTTATTGTTGGAGGGAAGAAAAAAGATCAGATTTGATGGCTGATGCATTTTTTATTACATTGTCAACCCTGTATCATCATGGAATCATAGAACAGAACCACAAAGTGAGCGTCACTTAATGAGAAAAAAGATAAACAGCATCTGAGGATAGATATGGGCAAACAGTTTTCATGATGTAAGCATTGCCATTGGAATAACATGCCCCATAAAAGAATTTTTATTTTGTGCGGAGTCGGGACATAGCCCAGAGACCAACAAAAATATTTCACGTCACCTAAAAAGTGTACTGCGCTCACTACCGAGTGCGGCATCGACGCTCGGTACCAAGCGGTTCTCCCGTCCGGTGTCCGCACGGAATAATCTTTCCCCAGAAAGTGGGCCATATACGAAAGAGATAAACAGCTAGAAACAATCCATAGCCAGTTCTTCTTTCTTCTTATTCACCACTGGCCAAGTTTATTCCCATTATAACCTTGTGCTCCTTTTTAATAGAAACCAAGACCATTCCTCAGAGTCCGTATGACTTCTAATTCTGTCCTAAACTGATGATTCCACTCTCACTAAGTTCCTCTTGTTACTTTGAAGAGATGACAGAAAAAGAGAAAAATAGCCTGAAAGTAGAATTGCAAGCTAGAGATTATGCAGAAGAAGAAACCAGCGATGGAAAGTCTAGAAAATGGTTGGATTTAACTCTTGGAGGAAGCAACTCATCGACAACTGAAAATTCTTCTGATTCCCATAGAAAACCATCCCCACTAAAGGTGTTTTCCTGTAATTTCTGTATGAGGAAATTCTACAGCTCACAGGCATTAGGAGGCCATCAAAATGCTCACAAGCGAGAAAGAGGAGCAGCTAAAAGAACTTATCAGTCACAGATGATGATGCTAGACTTACCCTTCGCTCCTTCCTTTCTACAGTCACTACGAGTTCAGCCACATTCAGTAGTTAACAAGCCCAACAGGGAAGGAGTTATGCCCATTGCAGCAAGGAGCCAAGATTTCAGCATGACTTGCACACCCTTTGCCTTTGAGGAAGCAACAAATATGGCATGGCCAGGGAGTTTTCATAAGTCGAAATTTTCCAAACCACCACCAGAACTGCAGAAGCTAGACCTGAACCTCAAACTGTGACCTCTTTACTAAAAGGTACAGACCTTTCCCATTCTTGTATCTCACCATCTTTTTCAAGTCCAGATTTGTGCTTGTTTTCAGCCATGTTAAACTTACTCCAGAACACCAAGAACTCCATCAGTACCAGGACGAAACCCATAATAAGTTTAAGGTTGTGTATGTGCAGATTTTCTACAATAAGTGTTATTTTCTGAGTTGCAGATGTTATATTCAAATTTTACCTAAATAAGGTAACACAGGTTGTCATTCAGTGGTTTGTTTCAGATCAACAATTCTGTAATTAGTATGCCGAATTTATGGGCCACTTTCATGGAGCATATTCTCCTTGAAATGGTGAAGGTGTTAACAGGAATTATATTTAAATCTTAACTGTCATAGCATCAACAACAAATTAAGAAGAGTCCGGTTTCCTTTGGGACGACTTCATACTATTTTTTAAAGCGGATTTCTGAAATTTTTGTACTAAAAAGCTGTTCTAGAAAGCAAAGAAAAAACCGTTCCAAACGAAGCGTTAATATACAACTGTCAAGTTTAGTTGCCCAATTATGCGTGCAGCTTAAAATAAGATGTTTAAATAAGTATTTTAGATAAGAAATGCAAACTTGGAGGCAGAAAACTAATTGTGACGCATGACAGGATTTTTCCCTTCATAAAGCTAGAAGTGGGCTGAAGTATTTTGCACAATAAAGTTCATCGAAAAAAGAAAGTAAACTCTCCTCCTGATAAGCCCATGTGGTTGCTAAGATCAAAACTTAATTGTCAGCAAGCCAATTGCTAAGATGTTCTGGCAAGTTTAGATGGCTTGTCAAAATATTTAGAGAAAGAACTTACAGAGGAGGAAGAATAATCATTCAACCACAAAATCCTAATAACCTGAGTTTTTTATTTTTTTATTTTTTAGATTTTTTTCTCTTTTTTTCCTTAAGTTTTCTTTTTTATTTTTATAGAGATTTTTTTTTTCTTTTTTACTTTTTTTAATAGAGAAGTTCTCTCTCAAATTATATATATATATATTTAAGAGAGGTTCTTTTTTGTATTTTTTTTTCTTTTTTTCAAAATTTTTTAACCGACCCCATGTAGTGGGACAAAGGCTTGTTGTTGTTGTTTCAAATATTTTATGTAGTTTTATTTTTCTTTCAATTTTTTTTCCATATTTTTTAATTTTTTAAATGACTTTTTTTATTTAAAGCCATGTAACTCTCTTTAGTAATGTTACTTAACTCTCTTCTATAAAATCATGTAACTATCTTCCTTAAAGTTACATAACTCTCTTCCGTAAAGTCATCTAATTCTCGTCCTTAAAATTGTATAACTCTCTTCTATAAATTCATATAACTTTCTTACTTAAAATTATGTAATTCTCTTCAATAAAGTCAGCTCATTAATATCACATAATTCTTTAGTTTAAAGTTATATAAATGAAATCTTCCTCCCTCTTCAATTATATATACCTCTTTATCAAAGGAGAAGTTTGCAGCACTTCTCTCTTCCAATCTTTTTTTACCCATTTTTCTTCTTCATTTTTTTAAGAGAGTTATTTCACTGGCTTGAATAAGCGGTATCTCCTTTCAAGCTCCAATACCCCTCGTAGAGAATGAATTACTATTGCCTCATTTTTCTTCTCTATTTCTTCTCTCAAGAGAGATATTTCACTGTCTTGAATAGGTGTTATTTCCTTTTAAGCTCCAATGACACTCTTTGTAGAGAACGAGTTACCCTTTCCCCCTTCTCTTCTTCTCTTAAGAGAAGAATTCTATGGTTTTGTATAAGTGATATCCCCTTTCAAGCTCCACTACAGCTCTCTTTAAAGAATAAATTATTCTTTATACTGACTTATGAGTGATACTCAAAAATTTTATCTTGACGGTAGAGCTTTGGTCTTTATTTTAAAAGAAAGTTGACTCACTCTGTTTTGAGATACTTTTCATCATATTTTGAAGCTCTAAATTTTCTCCCAATATGATGGTAATCATTACAAAAAAAATTTTGCAATGTTGGAAATAAAAAAATCATGTTGATGAAAGTATTTTAATTCATGGAGTTTTATTTTCAGCTCCTTGCATTAATCATTTAGATAAAAAAGATCATATATTTGAATATGATGTAGACTTCTGAAATTTATTATGTTGACATCATATAAATCCAATAACCTTATATAAGGCTTTGAGATGTTTATATAAGCCTTACTAATATTTGCTTTCAATTTATTTAAATTAATAAATGCTCTATCTTTATGTAAGAATCATTTTGCCTTTAAAAGTTTTTAGACAATCTTAAGCCTTTTGAGGCTTTCACCTTTCTCAGATTTTTGAAGAATAAAAAAAAATTTGTATCTTCTATGGCTTTTTTATATATATATATTTTTGTGTATATATACCTTTAGAGAATTATGCCTTCTGAGATTTTTGAATAATCTCATATCTTATGAGGCTTATATTTTCTAAGATTTTAAATGTACATATATCTTTTGAAGCTTTTGCCTTCCTAGGTCTATATATATATATATATTTGTGGGCTCCGAAAATTCGGCAGATCTTGGGCAGATAAATGGATAGTAAGGACAGGATAAGGAGATGGGTAGCCAGCTATATAAGGACTTTAGCATGATCTAAGTAAAGTTTTTATTATATTATTTTTTAGTTGAGATCAACAATATTCTTTCTAAGGCCTTTATCTTTAAAGATTTTTGGATAAGGCCAAGACTTTTTGTCTTCTGAGATTTTTGAAAGAGTTGAGACCTTGTCAACCACTTACTCACATGAAGTCTTTCAAGTGAGAACCATATCCACTATTAGCTTCCCATCGAGGCTACCTCATGGGCGTGCCTTCCTAAGATTGTGAGTAGAGACCATGTATACCACTTGCCCTCATAGGGTCTTTCTAACGAGGACCCTATCCACTATTAGCTTCTCTTCTAAGCTACCTCGAGTGATTTCCTGTAATTTGTATTAATTAAGCATTACTCGATGGGATTAAATTGAGATTGGGAGAATTCTAGCAAAAATGTTTGATCTATCTAAAATTGTTTAACAAAGTGTTACTCCATGAAAGTAACATGTATAGAAGAGAATGAAAGAAATCCATCAATAATTTTTGACCTATCTGAGGTTATTTATCAAAGTATTGCTTGATAACGTTAACCTATATGGAAGAGGTGGAATCAAACCCCTTATAATTGATTATATCTAGATTTGGAGGGGGCAAATGCCACGTATATCCCAAATTGAATGTGAATATTGGTTTGTCTTTAGACCGTCACTTCCTTTTCGAGATTGAGACTATAATCTTGCCCAAGGAGTAGAAGTCCACTTATGGACTATATAGAGTTTGAGATTCACTTAAAGCATTCCCATATTTATTAAAAACTTTATAAAAGATCGCTTCCATTTATATTATCTTTGATGCTAAATATAATGGGGAACAAGTTTGACCATGTTCGAGATTTCAACATAAATATTTGTTTAAGGTTATAGCCAAGATTGCCCCTAGTCCAAATTTGCTACCCACAAAATAGAAGCAAAAATGTATGATAATTGAGGGGAGATAAAATAATGAATGTTTTTTTATGTTGTGAGGTTGCCATCACTATTGAAGAATGTCTTTCAAACCTGATAATGGATCATAATAAAGGGACTATTGTTGTGCTACAACTATGCTTAGGACATTGACGTGAATGATCTTTGAGGTTGTAGCAAAGGTTGTTCATCACCCAAGAATTATTTCCCACAAAATATTACGTGCTAGAAAATTTGAGTCAGTAGAGTATATATTTTACTTATCAATATGGTAAAAAATTCAGCATGCACAGATAAAAATAGTAAGATCATAAAATTTTTATGTTTAAAATACGAATAATATCAAAAATGAGTGATCTTAAACTCGTTGGATTCGTCCAGCCAAGCCATATAAACATATCAAATTAGGATTTAAGATGATCATTATTTTAATTTCAATTTTTTCTTATTAAAAAATTATTTTGAGGTTTGTTTTGATCATATGATTTTTCTAGTCATATCAAAACTAAAGATTAAGTGGAATTTTAATAAAATTATTAATATTTTCTTAGCGATTCTAAACCGACGGAACAATCGAATAATGACATAATGTATGCCTATCGAATTTCGCATCAGACGATCCTCTTTGTTTTTTTTTTTTTCTTCTTCCCATGTAAGTATGGTGTTCCGGGCATTGCGTTGAGGACGAACCGTCCTCGGGTGCCGCCGCCGCCGACGGCCGAGAATCCTGACGTTTTTTCATGCCCCGCTTTCTTCCGTGCTACTCCGTCATCCGATGACGGAGACAATCCAATCATAGATGAAAGCCCAGTCTCCGGCAAAGCCTTCTGCGCGTTCGACGATGGCATTTCAGGTAATTTTTACTTGACAAATGAAACGATTTTCAAAATAGTAAAGCTTAATTGAATGTTTCAACAAAAATAAAAGTGGAAACGACAATGATTCAAATTTGATCGAAATTTCAAGGTTAAAATTTTGCTTGATTCTGTGTTTTTTGGGATGATAATGCTTTATAAAGCTAAATAGATAGCAAAATAAAAAAAATAAAAGAGATGAAAAGAAAACTAATTTTTAAAAAAGAAAGTAAACATATTTAAAATTTCATAAAACTAATTTTATAAATCTCACTCAAATCCTCTTAAAAATAATAATTTTGTTTAGAAAAATAAATAATTGACAAAATCAATGTTTTTTTTTTTTGGAATAGGATATCCACTCACTGTCATCCCCGAAAAGGCGCTTGGCGGCGTGACTAATTCTCGGCTTAACTAGAAGAGGCACACCCACCCAAAAAACCTCCCGGTCTACACTTAATTGGACCCCACCCCACTTAAGAGTCATTGCCGCTCGAGGGGAATCAAACACAGGTTGAGGGGTTTCCAACCGTACGCATCCACCAACCTAGCTAAGCAATGATGGATCAATGTTTTTAAACTGAATTATTTTCTATATATCAGTCTTTTTAAGAGGCTTTGTTTGAGGGAGTTATACACACACACGTCATAGAAAAATTATCTTGATCGGGCACGAATCTCGATGCAAAACCAAGCTTGAAACTTACAAAATTAAAATTGGGGCCATCCTAACTTTGATTTTAGCAAACTTACATTCAAACTGAATGTCTCAGAAATACGAACCCAACGACACCAAATTCGACTCAATTCGAGCCCAAATGAGTCCAAATCAAGGATCCAAAGCGTTGTTGGAAGGTTTGAACCACAATTTGGATTACTAAACGATTTCCAAACATAAGGTGCTTATAGTTGAATCGAGTGGCTCGACGAGATGAATCCAACGAGCTCAAGATCACTAAATTTTGACATCACTAAGACATTCAAATGTCCATAAATGGTCCATGATCAAGGGATTCAACATCGGTCGTCCATCCGACCACTCCCCCTTTACCCTTGATCTCTCACCTACCTACAGGTCATGCCACTCCAAAAATCTATAAATAAACCCCTCATTTCTCTTGAAAGGGGATCCCAAGCAAGAAGAGAAGAAGAGAAGAGAAGGAAGAAGAGAATAAAGAGAAGGAAAAAGCTTCTCCTCGACCACCGTCGGAGTCTCGTCGGACAACCACCTAACTCTCGGAATTCTACCGGACCACCACCTAAGGCACGGACTTCCGTCGGACCACCACCTGACGACCAGAGTTCTGCCGGACCACCACCTGAGGCTCGGACTTCCGCCAGACCACCGCCTGACGTTGTTGCTCCTCTGGACCACCACTTGAGACCCTCACCTCCACCGGACCACCACTTGAGACCCGAACTTTTACTAGACCACCACTTGATGCCTGAACTTCTACCGGACCACCGCTTGAGGCCATGTGCTTCACCAGGTCGCCACCTGAGGCCCGGACTTTTGCCGGACCACCACCTGAGGCCCAGACTTATGTTGGCTCAGAGTTCTACCAGAGTACCGCTATACTACGACGGTCTTTCTGTCCCCAATCTCCGGTCAACTACAGTCTTTTGGACCCCTGTTCCCTGCCGACTATGGTCCTTCCAACCTCCGTCTCATACTACGGACCCTCCAACCAACATTGTCAAACAATGGCCTTTCTGACCTCGGTCTCTTGCATACTACAGTACTTCCGACCTCCATCACCAGACAACGGTCTTTCCGACCTCTATCCAATCGACTATGGTCGTGCCGACTAAACAAACATGTCTATATTGTAACTCCCACCATGTAATGCGCTCTATATGATGTACATTTGCACCATCAAGCCAATGCCTTTTCCCAAGGGCCTCATTTGTAATCGACTGCAAATATTAGTGGATTCATTCAAACTGGGCTAGGCCCCGTGGTTTTTCCCCCTTTTCAGGGGTTTCCACGTAAAAACTCTGGCGTCTCTTATGAATGCAACACCCTCTCTCTCTTATCGGATTATGTGCTGGATCTTCGTACAACGTTAAGACGTTAAATTATATATTTCTCTACCGCCGCGAATACTCCAAGACGCAGCATATATGTCTTCAAAAAGTTTGTATACTAAAAATATAGCTGTACAAAATAGTAAAAAAATTGATCCCAAATATAGCCTTAATAAATTTGAGTTAATTGTGATAAATACAACTCACAAATTTCTTAGTTTAATTTTTTTGAGCAAAACCATAATTTTGTAAATAATTAAATTTAAGGTGACAAATCCATTTTTTCTCTTTTAACAAAATATTTTCTACACATAAATGGCATAATAAGCATGAACTCAGAAGCGATTATTTGAACGTCGTGCTCATCTAAAAACTCAAAAGCTTAATTGCTTGAATTTATGGAATATCCCAAAATCACTTATGATTTACTTAAAGTGTAGAAAAGCTTAAGCAAAGTGAATAAAAATATATAGTTATTACAAATATATTATATTTGAATGCTTTGATTTTTTCCTTATTTTTGAAAAATGTAAATTTTAATTATTATGATAAATATAATACTTCATTTAAGACAATTTTCTTATTATTTATTTTCTGCAGCAATTTTCTAATGCACAAATTTCTTAAAAATAATCAATAACAAAATAATTTATCCCAAAGGAAACCATAAGCAAATAATTGACAAAATCAATGTTTTTTTTTTTTGGAATAGGATATCCACTCACTGTCATCCCCGAAAAGGCGCTTGGCGGCGTGACTAATTCTCGGCTTAACTAGAAGAGGCACACCCACCCAAAAAACCTCCCGGTCTACACTTAATTGGACCCCACCCCACTTAAGAGTCATTGCCGCTCGAGGGGAATCAAACACAGGTTGAGGGGTTCCCAACCGTACTCACCCACCAACCTAGCTAAGCAATGATGGATCAATGTTTTTAAACTGAATTATTTTCTATATATCAGTCTTTTTAAGAGGCTTTGTTTGAGGGAGTTATACACACACACGTCATAGAAAAATTATCTTGATCGGGCACGAATCTCGATGCAAAACCAAGCTTGAAACTTACAAAATTAAAATTGGGGCCATCCTAACTTTGATTTTAGCAAACTTACATTCAAACTGAATGTCTCGGAAATACAAACTCAACGACACCAAATTCGTCTCAATTCGAGCCAAAATGAGTCCAAATCAAGGACCCAAAGCGTTGTTGGAAGGTTCGAACCACAATTTGGATTACTAAACGATTTCCAAACATTACGTGCTTATAGTTGAATCGAGCGCCTCAACGAGATGAATTCAACGAGCTCAAGATCACCGAATTCTGACATCACTAAGACATTCAAATGTCCATAAACGGTCCATGATTAAGGGATTCAACATCGGCCGTCCATCCGACCACTCCCCCTTTAACCTTGATCTTTCACCTACCTACAGGTCATGCCACTCCATAAATCTATAAATAAACCCCTCATTTCTCTTGAAAGGGGATCCCAAGCAAGAAGAGAAGAAGAGAAGAGAAGGAAGAAGAGAATGAAGAGAAGGAAAAAAGCTCCTCCTCGACCACCGACGGAGTCTCGTCGGACAACCACCTAACGCTCGGAGTTCTAGCAGACCACCACCTGAGGTACGGACTTCCGTTGGACCACCACCTGACGACCAGAGTTCTGCCGGACCACCACCTGAGGCTCGGACTTCCGCCGGACCACCGCCTGACGTTGTTGCTCCCCTGGACCACCACTTGAGACCCTCACCTCCACTAGACCACCACTTGAGATCCGAACTTCTATTAGACCACCACTTGATGCTCGAACTTTTGCCGGACCACCGCTTGAGGTCGTGTGCTTCACCAGGTCACCACCTGAGGCCCAGACTTTTGTCGGACCACCACCTGAGGCCTAAACTTCTGTCGGGCCACGAACTGATGCTCATAGTTCTACCATAGTACCGCTATACTACGACAATCTTTTTGTCCTCGATCTCCGGTCAACTACGGCCTTTTGGACCCCTGTTTCCTGCTGACTATGGTCCTTCCAACCTCCGTCTCATACTACGGACCTTTCAACCAACATCGCCAAACAATGGCCTTTCTGACCTCGGTCTCTTGCATACTACAGTACTTCCGACCTCCATCACCAGACAACGGTCTTTCATGGTCGTGCCGACTAAACAAATATGTCCATATTGTAACTCCCACCATGTAATGCGCTTTATATGATGTACAATTGCACCATCAAGCCAATGTCTTCTCCCAAGGAAGTGCCTCATTTGTAATCGACTGCAAATATTAGTGGATTCATTCAAACTGGGCCAGGCCCTGTGGTTTTTCCCCCTTTTCAGGGGTTTCCACGTAAAAACTGTAGCGTCTCTTATGAACGCAACACCCTCTCTCTCTTATCTGATTGTGTGCTGGATCTTTATACAACGTTAAGACGTTAAACTATATATTTCTCTACCACCGTGAATACTCCAAGACGCAACATATATATGTCTTCAAAAAGTTTGTATACTAAAAATATAGCTGTACAAAATAGTAAAAAAATTGATCCCAAATAGAGCCTTAATAAATTTGAGTTAATTGTGATAAATACAACTCACAAATTTCTTAGTTTAATTTTTTTGAGCAAAACCATAATTTTGTAAATAATTAAATTTAAGGTGACAAATCCATTTTTTTTCTCTTTTAACAAAATATTTTCTACACATAAATGGCATAATAAGCATGAACTCTGAAGCGATTATTTGAACGTCGTGCTCATCTAAAAACTCAAAAGCTTAATTGCTTGAATTTATAGAATATCCCAAAATCACTTATGATTAACTTAAGTGTAGAAAAGCTTAAGCAAAGTGAATAAAAAATATATAGTTAATGCTTTGATTTTTTCCTTATTTTTGAAAAATATGAAGGTTAATTATTTTGATAAATATAATACTTCATTTAAGACAATTTTCTTACTATTTATTTTATATAGCAATTTTCTAATGCACAAATTTCTTAAAAATAACCAATAACAAAATAATTTATCCCAAAGGAAACCATAAGTTACCCTGTCGATCAGGAATTTTTATTACATCCGGTAAAAATACCGAGCATACCGAATGTACCGAGCGCCTGTACCGAGCACAGTACCGAGCACTTTAGTGACGTGGCATTTTGTTATTGGTTTTCGGATGCATTCGGTAACCTGACGGAATAATCACTCGTCGATCAGGGCTTCACTAATGGCCCCTTATCATAAAGTGCTTGATCTTGTGAAACTAAAATTTTAGATAAGAAGAATTTAAATAACATAGGGCAAATTTTTTTTTCTAAATTTAGATGAGCTTCTATAATATATATAATTAATGAGAATATAAATAATAATTTTTTTAATCAAAGAGAGGTGAGAGTCACCCTTAACTTCTCCCAAATTACACAATTGAGCTCATCTACAAAGCTAGAAAAATTAAGCACCATCTTTTAGAGAATTTATTCGGTGCGGACACCGAATGGTTCGGTGACAACACACTAGGTCACCTTGTACACAGCAGTATCGAGTACCAGTACCAAGCAAAAAAATGACATGACATGTTCTAGTTAGTTTCCAGATGTCGTCTGGCGTCCGCACAGAATAATTGTTCCTTCTAGCAAACTATTCCAATACTTTCAGAACATAATGTGATGTTTGCTTAATTTTATTGAATGCAAAGAACTAAGCCAGCACAACAAAATGCGGCCTAAATAAATAAACTGTTTCTGAATGCTAAAGAGATTTGTACATTATAGTTTAAATTGAATCAATTATTGAATATAAAAAAAAAAAATCAACTATCATAAAATACCACTGCTCCATGCACTGCAATTCAAATTATAGTCCCCTGATCTTCGTTGGGGAAGAAAAGGCTACTCACATGGCGTTCATACCAGCAAGCTTCCGCAGCTTTTCACATACTAGAAACGTAATGGTAGTTTGAGGGCCTATTCTTGCAAAAGTGGCAAAACCCCTGTGTTTCATTGAGAAAAAGTATCAGTTGAGTGCTCAGATGCTGCAGCTACAGGGAAAATAGACTTCAGACAGAAAATTCTTAAACGTATACAAAAGTTGGGTGATATGATTTGCAGGTGTTTAAGAAGAACCTTTGCGAATTTAAAATACTACAACAACAACATCAAGCCTTTGTCCCACTATGTGGGGTCGGCTACATGAATCATTTTTTTCCATTGTGTCCGGGTAAAAGTCAAATTCTCATTTAAATCTAATAAAGAAAGATCATTTCTAATATTTTCTAACCATGTCTTTTTAGGTCTACCTCTACCTTTCTTAACATAAATCAAATCTAATACCTCAACTTTCCTAACCGGGTCATCAGAAGGCCTCCGTTTAATGTGACCAAACCATCTAAGGCGACTATCTCTAATCTTATCTTCCTCTGGAGCTACTCCAACATTTTCACGTATATGCTCATTTCATATCCTATCTCTAAGGGTCAAGCCACTCATTCACATAAGCATCCTCATCTCTGCAACACTTAACTTAGTATTATGCTTCTCTTTTAATGGCCAACATTCGACACCATAAAGTACTGCAGGTCTCACCATCATCTTATAAAATTTTTCCTTAAGTTTGAGAGGGACTTTTCTATCGCACAATAAGCCCGATGCTACTTCTAAAATGCAGTCATAAAATTGCTACTACTTCTAAAACTTAACAAAGCATAACAGATACACGACAGATAGCAGAAGAATGATGACCTCAAATCCGGAGATTCAGTATTGTTGCATGGCTCATATGGGAAAAATGAAAATGGCTGACAATTTTTTGTCAAGGAGTTTATTTTTTTTGTTGATGTTGCTTGCAATTTCTATGATTCTTCCATGGAAAACCATCAGCACTTTTTTTTGCAATGGGATATCCGCTTGCTGCCACCCCTAAAAGGACGCTTGGTGTTGCGAGTAATCCTTGGCTGACCTAGAGGAGGCAGCCACCCCAGAAACCTTCTGGCCCGCATTTGATTGGGCCCAACTTATGTCCGTGTTGTCTCAAAGCATCTCAACACGGACATAAGCATCCTTTCAAAAGTTTTCCACCACTTGGACCTTGCTCCATTTGCTGGCACCAGTTCAGCCAATTTGTAAGCATGTTCAAAATGCTGGAATTTCTCTGGCCACATTATCTTCAAAAGCTGCAATGGCGGAATCTTAACTTGTGACCGGAAACCTCGTAGCTGGCCCCAGGAAGATGTTCATTAGAGTCAGTCTACATGGCGTTAAGCGAGCCTTCCACTGGAGTCAATAGGAGCAAATTTTGCAGGCTTCATTCAAGATCCAGCTGCCTTTGTCAAGAAGAAATAAAAATACTTAAGAGCAAATAATGTAGTGCTCAAATTTCAAGCTATCTTGGGACTTCTGCATCTCTTCCAATCTACCTTCACCCTTTAGCTTCCTCTTAAATAAGTCGATCCACACGGATTACGTGCACATTGTATGCCCAAACAATTTATAGGCATTTGGTTCAGGTCAAACTGGATCGACGAAGGGAATATTAACCTAAGAACTCTTGGGCTGATAAACTTGCTTGAGCCACTACAAACTTGCCAAAATCATAACGAATCTATCAAATCCACCTGGACACACTTGCCTAAGTTTGGAGCTCATTGTGGAAGATTGATAGGTAGTTTGATACAAATTTCTCAAAATCAGCGAACGATAATAAGAAATTAGGAAGAATAACACACCAAAATTATTTTTATTGCAAAATATAAGAAAGAAAATAGCAAGATACAATTGGATCTTCAATTGGAGAAGATGGAGAAGAAGATCCGGCTCTCCCAAATCCCTAGCCAACAGTTAGAACCCTCACAACCTAAGAAATTCTAATTTTAGCAAACTCAAAACATCCTTGTGTCCACTAATTTCACCCCCGATTGATCTACGACCTGGTTGGAGATAAAATTGTGGGTCGCCTCATTGTCTATCAACACCAACATCTCCCTCTCTGCTATTTCCCCTTTTACTTTCATGGTATGATTTGGAGTGAATCCCACCATTGAGTTTAAGGAGACATTCACCATGTCCAGATGCAGCTCTTCCTCCTCTACCAATGCCTCACTCCCACCTCCGTCCTCAGCTTCCTCATCATAACAAACGGTGAGAATTTGAAGAGTTCGGTCATTGCACATGTGCCCCAATGTATACCTCTCATCACATCTGAAGCACAATCCCTTAATCCTCTTTAATTTCGGCCAAATATTATCTTGAGTTTTACAAGCACTTCCTATCAAAGACCTCCCAAAAAATCAGCGACTTCTCTCAGTAAGTTAGCAACCTCTCTCGATAAATCAGCAATCTCCACTAGCAAGTCGAACCTCTTCCAGCAAGTGAACAACTTTTCTAAACAAATCAGCAAACTCACCCAATAAGTTGGAGACCTTTCCCAATAACTCAGTAACTCTCTCAACAAGTTGATATCCTCTAGCAAGTCAGGAGCTTCTATTAGCAAGTCTGCAACTTCAATTCGTAGGTCGATGACTTCACCCATCAGGATGGAGACTTCAACTAAAGACTGCCCACATATCAATTGTTCATGTATATTTTTATATTTTTCTAGCTACATACTTTTTAGGTTATACATTACCTCTTTTACATATAACAATTAAAGAATACTCTGATTAAAAAAAAAAATCAAGTTTCAAATCATGCAATTTCAATTGGTGAGGTCATAAAATTAGGCAAAATATATATGTTAACAAGATATATATTAACTAGGATAATAATTAACAATGTTATCCCTAGTAGTAGGATATTTTATATCAATCAATTGAAGCATAACACTTTTCTTTGAAGTGTGTTTGAGCTGTAAATCAGTTACAAGGTGTTATGGTGGATGTCTTCTTCATAGGTTTGACATGCTGGGTTTTGAAAATATAAATATTCCATCTACCATAATGAGTAAAACTCATATCAAACCAATGTCGTCCAAGCAAGATGTAAGCAATATCCATGGAAAAAACATAACACAATATTTAATCTTCATAGCTACCTATCTTGAGAAAAACTAAGCATCTACAGGTGATGGGAAGGGAGGCATAGTTGACTCTGATATAAAAAGGTTCTGGATGTGGTTCAGTCTTAAGATTGACTCTGGTAATAATGTATGTATAGATGATATTCAATACACTTCTCCCATCTAGGATTAATATAAATCTTTTCTTGTTACACACAACATACATATTAAAAAGGACAAATTTTAAAACGACTATGATGTGTTGTTGTTTGACAAATGATATTTTTCAAACTCCTACTCTCTTGCTTAAACCTCCATCAAACTGCCATAGACAAGGCTTGGACTGAATTTTTTCGTACCGAATGCAAGCAACTGTAACCTTCTACTTGTTCAATGCAATGACAAAAAATTGAACATTTTTCAAGATATACCATTCACGTATAACAAATTGTAGGTTTGACTTCCATTTGAAGCACATCCCCTTTGACAACTGTTAGACCGGTCCAGCCGGTCCGCACGGGACCGGCAGTTCGCGAAATGTCGTGTGATCTCCGCCTCCTGCGGAGATCGGGAGGGCCGAACGCTCAAGAGGAGCATTTTAGGAAGCGTTTTTGAGGAAGTTTAGGAGGGAAATTGATTGTAGGGAATGTTTAGGGAATTCCTTTTGAATTGTATGCATTAAATAGTAGATTTTCCTAGGGTTTGATCATCTTGAATTTGGCTGAAATTTGAGATCTCTTAGATTTAGGTTTTCTTTGGGCTCTAGCGGCGTCTAGAGATTTGGGAGAGATCGATCCTCCTCTCGAATTGAGGATCAATTGTATCTTGCTGTTTTTGTTCTTCTATTAGTGAAATACAAGTGTTTGCTTGGTTTTATTTCAGATTTCTAGCGAATATCTCCTGTTTTCCACTGTTTTTGGGCTATTTCCTGCTGTGGACAATAATAAAACTACATCAGTTTACTGATTTCGGTTAGGAACACTTGTGAATACTAGTGTTTCCTATCAAAATGGTATCAGAGCGTCGTTTTTGGGACCTTAGGCAGCTGAAAAGCCTGAAATCCTTATTTTTCAGCGAGCTTTTGACTTCCGGAAGTGATATTTTTCAGATCCGTTGGGGAAGAAAGATGGCCGGAAAGAAGGTTGACGTCTTGGAAGGCGAAGTCGGCCAATTGAAAGCCGATTTGGAGGAAAGATTCTGCAACTTTCAAAATCAAATCACCTCCAACAATGAAAGGTTGAAGGGGAAGTTCACCGCGATGGAGGAAATGATGAAGAAACTACTTGAAAGGGAATGTGCTTGGAGGGAAAAGCCTTAGCCTGGTATCAGTGGCGTGACAGACGGGAGCCTATCCGGAGCTGGCGGGAGTTCAAAGAATGCTTATTAGAGCGTTTCCGAGCAGATGAGGGAGGAGACTTCTATGAGCAATTCTTTGCCCTTACCCAAGAAGGCACGGTGGCAGATTACCGGGATAGGTTTGAGTATCTGGCTAGTAGGCTGGATCATATCTCGGAGTCAGCCCTTGAAAAGAATTTCATGAAGGGGCTGAAACCGGAGGTAAGAACAGCAGTCAGAGTGTTGGAGCAAAGGAATCTAGGCAAGGCCATTGAGTTGGCCCAGCTGGTGGAAGACCAGAAGAAGTCTGAAAAAGGGACTCGAGGAAATTGCTCAGGAGGCTCTTACAGGACGACCACCACTCTTCTAGCACCCAAGGGGCCTGCATCAAGCAATATTAATGAGACCACCCGGGAGAAGCCAGTAGGAGGAGGGAGTGGGGAAAATTTCAAGAGGCTGACAGAGAAGGAGATGCAGGAGAAGAGGGCAAAGGGATTGTGCTTCAGATGTGATGAGAAATACCTGCCGGGGCATAGGTGCAAGGACCGAACTCTTCAGGTTCTTCTTGTCTGTGAAGACGAGGAAGACGAGGAGGGAGGTGGGAGAAGATCTGAAGAGGAGGAGAAGGTTCACCTGGATGTGGCAGAAGTCTCTTTGACATCTGTAGTGGGATTTACTTCGAGTCACACTATGAAAGTGAAAGGAGAGATAGATAGCCGTGAGGTGGTGGTGTTAATTGATAGTGGGGCTACCCACGATTTCATTTCCACTCAAGTCGTTGACCAAGTGTGATTGAAGTTGGTGGATACCGGTTGATATGGAGTGATGATGGGTACAATGAAGGTGGAGAAAGCCCAGGGGATCTGTAGAGGAGTGGTGTTGACCATCCAGGAGATTCAGGTGAGGGAGGATTTTCTCCCACTAGAGTTAGGAAGTACTGATGTCATCTTGGGAATGAAATGGTTGCAAAATTTGGGGGAAACCAAGGATAATTGGGGAGCACTCACGATGGAATTAATGGTGGATGGGAGAAAGGTGGTCATAAGGGGAGATGCAGGGTTATCCAAAGCCATCACATCACTTAAGACCATGGTTAGGGACGTACAAGAGGTGGGGAAAGATTATCTAGTGGGACTACACAGGCTAGATGCGATCATATTGGAAGAGGGAGGGGATGTTCCTCCTTTCGTGCAGCCCTTGGTTCAGCAATACAGTGAGGTTTTTCAGTCAACTCAAGGATGGTCATCTCCGCGGGAACACGAGCATATTTCAACCTTGAGGACAAGGTGGATTTTTAGGAGGGGAGTATTGTTAGACCGGTCCAGCCGGTCCGCACGGGACCGGCAGTTCGCGAAATATCGCGTGATCTCCGCCTCCTGCGGAGTTCGGGCGGGCCGAACGCTCAAGAGGAGCATTTTAGGAAACGTTTTTGAGGAAGTTTAGGAGGGAGATTGATTGTATGGACTGTTTAGGGAATTCCTTTTGAATTGTATGCATTAAATAGTAGATTTTCCTAGGGTTTGATCATCTTGAATTTAGCTGAAATTTGAGATCTCTTAGATTTAGGTTTTCTTTGGGCTCTAGCGGCGTCTAGAGATTTGGGAGAGATCGATCCTCCTCTCGAATTGAGGAACAATTGTATCTTGCTGTTTTTGTTCTTCTATTAGTGAAATACAAGTGTTTGCTTGGTTTTATTTCAGATTTCTAGCGAATATCTCCTGTTTTCCGCTGTTTTTGGGCTATTTCCTGCTGTGGACAGCAATAAAACTGCAGCAGTTTACTGATTTCGGCTAGGAACACTTGTGAATACTAGTGTTTCCTATCAACAACTCAGAAGGAATTACAAATTCTTCTTCTCCTATGTTATAATCACAACTATTCTCAATTGTAATTTCTTGGTCCCATTGACGGGTCATCTGACACATCCGTGCATACTCGTTGTTAGCAACCATTCCAGTTTTTGCATCAGCAATCACATTGCAATGATTTTGTATAAACTCACGAACGTCATCATGATCAACTACAATCACCTCATTTCGATAAGGTGGTAAGTCATCACCACTATCACTATCCAGCTCTCTCGATCCATTGTCTGTAGTCTCATAACCTTCGTCAAGAACTGATATGGTAACTTTACACCCAATTGCTCCCGACATGTTCACACAAGAAGTTTGTGCCGAACTAGCTTGAGCATCAACAACAAAATCATGCATTGTGTAGGTAGATAGGGTCGAGTGGTAAAAGCAATAAGCATTTAAAATACACAACCGAAACATATGTATATTCTCGCTCGGATGCGATGAACGAATTTTGGATGATAACAACTTTTGAGGCAAAATGGCTTATCAGATTAGATGTCACACAAGATGAGGTGGTGTTGAACATGATCAAGATGAGGACAACAATAGTGACACAAGCAAAAAGGAGACATAATGCGAGCAACAAGGCGACACAATGTGAACAGCAAGATAATGCAACATGAGGAGCTCTTCATCTTATTAATGGAAGGAGTGGAAGTGATGACAGTACTTTCCTATTGGTTGATTACGGAGACTAGGTAGTGTTAATGGAGCACATTAGTTACAACTTACAAATGGATGGAGCATTGGCATTGGAAGACAAAAGACAAAAGTGATCGTAAATAAGACAGATTATATGAATTAATAAGGATAGGGAAGAAATAAAGATGAAGAAACCAATTACAAAAAGGGACAATCAATAGCAAAAAATGACATGAGCTGCAAGCAGATGGAGAGACTTAAGGCGAGAAGGCTTCGTGATTGGATGAAGGTGAGCAAGCAAGGAGAATGAGAATGAGAGCTGACATAGGAGGGTGATGCAAACGAAGGCATGCTAGAGAACTTGTGATTTGGAAATCGCTCAATTTTGATGATTTTTCAAATACAACAAAAATAAAAAATTTGGGGTATGCCAAATCCCAAAAAATGTCACTTCGTAATTCTCTTTCTTTAAGCCAAATATCAAAAAAGTTGAAACGCAAAAAAATGAAATGTAATGCACTACTAATTTTTATTTCTCTTGCTTCAAATTAAACACAAAAGTTGAAGTGCAAGGAAATGAAATGCAACACACTACTAATGTTGCGGACAAAACAACTCCAACAAAAAAATTAAAAAGAAATGCAATATGGCCAGTCAAAACATTGTCTCCAATACCCCTCTAAGAGTGTTTGTGCTTTATAATCTTAACTATAATAAATCATAGCACACATTACATGGAAACATTGAAACTAATATTTCAATGCCAAATATAAAAAATAACAATGTAGCAGTTCTATGAAACAGCAAAAAAAAAAGTTGCTGATTGTAGTAAATTTCTGTTTAATTTCTGTTGTTTTTTTCTAGGGTTTTAATTTGGTATCAGTTATAGTTTAGCTAAAACCAACTTAAAAACAATTAATCTTGTGTACAAGTGTTTCTGTTGGACTTTCATATATAAAGCATGCAAACTTACTATCATTTTTTATTTATAAAAAAACAAAGAGATGCTTACCCTTTATAAAGCGCGCCTGCACCCTCTGTGAGAACTACCTATAAGAATGAGGAGTCCAGTGAATGAGTTGAAAGGACGACAAAAACTGGCATTAATATATTTGCTCATCTAAATTGCTGGATAATATAAATTAGACTTTCTTCAAGTATATCTCCAGTTAAAAAACTTAAAGCAACACATTAGTATAATATTAACGTATCATTCACATACCTGAAATTTTTTATATTGCTGTAATGGATTCAAATTCCAGGATAAAGCTCAATGAAATAACCAATAACTCAACGAAGGTTTTGTTTGGGACAGTTTTTTTATTGCTTCTTAAAGCAGCTTTTTAGTACAAAAATTAAAATTTATGTATTAGAAAGCTTCTTTAAGAAGCCGTAAGAAAGCTGTCCCAAATGAAGTCAAAGTTACATTGTATACCATTGCAGAACGAAAAATAAGTAGATTGCCAGTACTCAAAGCCCTATTTGAAGTTCACTTACCTAAATTTTTGCTATGTTGCTGAGTTTTGATTCCTAAAGTTTGAATGGTTATGCCTGTTGAGATACGTTATCATTTTTTTCTTCATACACCTTTCTTACATTATCAGAACAAAGCCTTAATGAAATGATTGATTATCATTCATTTCTATCTTACATCCCTCCTCTGTTATGTTGCTGAGTTTTTGCATAGTTATGGTAACTTTTTAGTATATTGAACATTATGTATGAATACTTATTCATATATATCACAGGTCACTCTTCTTTCTTCTATAATATAATATTTCCAACAGATTTGTCCTCCATCAATTTGTGTTGTATTATTTCAAATTAAACCAATTGATGGCAGCCTAGTAAAGAAAGTATGTGAGAAATAACTAGTTAAGTAGGATGGTTATGAAATCAAACCGCAAAGAATTTACAAATGAGAAAAACTCCACTGTCAATTAGCATAACCGACCAACAAATGAAGATAAAAGAACTAGATTAGCTAAGAGAAATAGCCTAAATGAGAAAAGTTTGTATTAGTGTGGCCATATGCTTAATAGCTAATACCTGGTATGCACAGTGAAATACATTTCTGTAAATCCTGGGGCCTCTGGAATCTTGCTGCAACATTAGTCGAGTCTTGAGCATGTCCACAGGTGCAGTTACTAGGGTTCCAACAGTTCCTGCTACAAAACTTGAGCTTCACGTAGCACAGATATGAATTAGTTATCCCCTAGCTGATTTCTTTTGAGCAATCTAAACAAAGAATGAAAAAGAGCCCTGTACATGAGATGTAAATGAAACCCTTCTTCAAGATGAGTCCACTTAAGCAAGGCCTGAAACAGGAAAACGTAGCAGAAATATAGATTTTCAAATCATATATAAAACTGCAAAGCACAATCTACACGAAGGCCCTTAACGTAAAATTTCTTTGAGGTGGAGGAATGCCGAGAACGAAACCTGCTTTGACTCGTCATATGTTACCAACTGTGAGGCAGTCAATGCACCAGCCCTGGTCATTGCAGGGCCTACTCCTTTCCAGAGTGCCCTGAAACCCTCTTCTGATATAATTTTATGTATTTCTCCTGTAAGACCCCTTCTGGAGTTCATTTGCAGTCTAACCTGTACATGGAAAATCACTGCAAAACTAACCAAGCAAGATTACAAGCTTGCAAATATGCAAAATTCTACCTTCAGAACTTCCATTGGATTAGTCAAAGCGGTTGCAAGCGCCCCAGAAAAAGCTCCTGATGCAATCTTCACGAAGATATTAGTTGAACCAACCATTAAGTCGGAAAGATATTTACAAGGCTGATACAAGCCCAAACGCAGACCGCCATAGAGAGTAGACCTAGTTAGTGCAGGCACTAGTCCAAGATATAGTCCTCTAACTCCTTCAACTTTAATTATTCTTCCAAAAGTTTCGCCCTGCAAGGTTCAGTATAATGAAGGTCAAATAAAAATAAAGATCTAAGAGAAAGTGGATCATCTTGTGAAACAGGCATATAGCTGGGGCATACCATCCCCACCAAAGGACCTCTTTGGCCAAGAAGCTGCATCTGGAGTCTAACTTTGACAACATCTGCATTTCCAAGATAAAACTTTTAAAATTTGAATAAAACACATTACAGTGCCTAAAGAAGGTAGATTCTCACAACAGTAAAATATGAAAACTGGGTAGAATGGTTACAAGTATCAAATCTACAGCAATAGACAGTACACCAATTTCAAGATTCAAATAGACGCTGAGGACCTAAAGGATGCGTGAACGCGGTCGCAACGGCAACAGCTCCTCCGCTCGTGGAGAAATGGCAAAGGGCATATGGCAGCGATGTACTCCATTCTTTGTCCCTGTCGTCTTTGCTATCCATGAAACCTGAAAAATCATAATCAAAACGACTTAATGAGTTGCACCTAGCCTTCTAACCCTAGCTTTTATGAAAAGAGAAGGAAACTACCGGCAGCCGGCGGGTTCCGTTAATGGCTTTGTACCTATCTCCGCCGGCCAACTTGTTCTTCCTGTATAGCATCAAAAAGTTTGAAGACTTCTACAGAATTTAAATTCGTAATTTTTTTAAAAGGGAAATCGTATTAAAGAAAAAAATTACAAAGATTAGTTTAAGAAGGGAGTAAGGGACCAGTCCGGCGACCGAACCAAGATAGCCGATGCGGGGAGGTTTTTTTTTTTTTTTTTTTCTCCCAAAGTTTTTTAATTTATAAATTTGAAAAAAAAAATCTTTTTTAATTATATTTACTTGTTTAATTTAACTTTTTATATATTTTAATTTTTTGAAATTTCTAAGTTGCAATTATTATTATTATTATTATTATTATTATTATTATTATTATTATTATATATAATTCTAATTTTTTATATTACAAACATTCCTAGAAATATATTTTCATGTATGTTATTCTATTTTTATTTTATTTATATAATTAATTTAAAGGTTTAGTGATGTGCTAATTATAATATTTTTCTAGATTAACTTTTTTTGAAGTATAATAAAACTTTTTTAAGATTTTTTTTTTCAAAAGAAAATTGACTTTTTTATTTTGTTGAAGAATTTTATTTGACACCATAAGAATCATTTATTGATACTACTAAAATTTAGGCAAATGAAAAATGAAAAGTACTTTCATTAAATTATACAAATATTTATATTGTTACTTTTCGTAAAAATTATATAACCCGCATGTCTCTGCCAACCAGCATAATTTTATATAAGATTATGCATGAGCCTAGATGGTCATTGATCAGTATCTTGTGATAGAAACATTAGATATTAGACAATGATAGGAGACGCACTTTGTCATTCACTTGATGGAGAGGAATGTAAAATCCTTTAAATAAAAGAAGCTAAACTCTCAAACATCAAGGCATCTTTTGATTGAAATTTTATTAATAAATTCCACAATTAAGCATACTCATCTCGGAGCAATTATGAGATAGGAAACCTACAGGAAAATTACACAAACATGACAAAACTGTGAGATCCTCAGGCCAAAAAGGACAATATCTCGATATTTAAGAGTTTGAGATGTCACAAAATGGTATTAGAGTCATACACCACCCGGAAGATAAAAACTAAATGGCATACAAGACAAAATGATATGCCATGGGTGCGACCTCTTGAATCTTGTATGAGATAAAATGCTACATGACGAGAGCTAACACTTGAACTTGTATGGGCCACCTCTAGAATCTTATATACGTGGTGGATGATTATGAGATAAATATGCTGACAAGGATATCAGTTACTTAAGTGGGAGAGATTGTGAAACCCTTAAGTAAAAGAAGCTAAACTCTTAAACATCGATGCGCCTTTTGGTGTAACGATTTTAATTTCATTAAAAACTTCACAGTTAAGTGTGCTCATCTCAAAGTAACTCTAAAATGAGTGACCTACGGGAAACTTACACCAACATGACAAAACTATGAGGCCTTAGACCAAAGCAGACAATATCTGAATAGTCAAGAGTTTGATATGTCACAAAAAAACCAGCATCGAGTGTCGAATGGCTAACACACATCATATATCAATCATCAGCAAACATAACAAAACATTAATTGTTCATAAACATTTGGAGTTAATTGATGAGAAATAAAATTAAAAAAAATGTAAATATATAGACTAATTATCATTAAATTAATTTAATTAATATTTGTAATTGGTTGATTATTATATTTATTAGTCATATAATTATCCTTAAATTAATTTAATATTTAAATATTTAATTAAATCATTAATATGAGTAATAATTAAATAATTTATAATTTCAAAACATAATTAACAAATTAATTAAAATTTTAAAAATATAATTAAATAATTAGAAACATACTTAAAAGTTAAATTTATTATTATTAATCATTAAATTAATTATTTACGTGTTAATTATCAAATTACTTATTATATTACTAATTATCTAATTATCAAATAATCTCATATAAAATGAACATGCAAATTAAATTCAAAACATATTAAATTTAATTTCTAAACAAACCAATCGTCTAAAATCTTATATTACGTTTCAAAACAATTTCTTAAAACTTATCATAATGTAACATTTATCATACCAAACAATTCTCAGGATTTAACACCCTCAAAATTTAATAATTTATTAAATTCAATTTTAGAGGATTTACTAAATCCCACTCAAGTGAAATCCAATCCAATGCCAAACAGCCCCTTAATTTCATCACCAATAGCATCTTCATCCCTCCAAAACTCCAATCCCGATAATCTTACTCGTAATCAAAATTTGCAAAACTAGCTTTAAAATCTTCTAACTTTCGCGATTTACCTTTTACAAAGTCAATGCGGAAACTGATGAGCATCAGGTTGTTCGCCTTTGCATGCATTACTAAGCCACAATATCAAATGGATTTTATGAAGATGACTTGACATGAGGAGGTAAGCTCGGTTCAGTCCGGATGGATGGCAAGGTTGCCCTGGTAAAATCCATGCATCTCTGGCACTGTTTGGTAAGAGCTGCATGCACTGCTGGTGGAGAGATCTGACCTGAGCGTTCCAGAACTTTTGCCACAGATTCGACAGCATGATTAATCTGTGAATGAAAAAAAGCTCTTAGAAAAGTTAAGAATAGTGGAGAAATTATTCTGTGTGGACACCGTATACAGCTTATTGTCCATAAGCCAATCAGGTGCAGTCACGTCATCCAGTACCGAGCCACAGTACCGAGTAAGGGGTGATGTGGCGCATTTTCATTGGGTTCTGAATGGCATTCGGCATCCGCACAGAATAATTCATCGACACCAAAGTCGAGTAGTCATGTTACATGCAATTAAAGATTTTCTTAAATTTTGTGACTGGAGTTGGAGCTTCCTTGTAGAGCATTAAACCAAAGATTTGTAGGTAGTTAACCTATGGCTAAAATTGAATTCCCTCTGTAATTTATCTGAATCCAACTATACACAACTAGGTCAATTTATGAATACTCACAATTGATGCACACAAGCAAACTTCTTGCTTCATTTGGGATAACTTTTGATCACTATTTTTTTACTGTTTTCATGAAATTTTTGTGCTAGAAAGCACTACAAAAATTGTCTCAAAAGAAGCATCCGTAAGATCCATCAACCAGTTGCCGTACTAATCAAGCCAAAATAAAGAAGCATTTGAGCTAGTTTTCTTCAATATATCAGAGAATAATAGAAAAAATAATAATTAAATTATCAGCCCACACTACAGAAATTCGTAAGAATTAAGAAACAGAGCACCGGGCACAATTGGAACAAATTTGAAAAAAAAAAATTTGATTTAGTTTGGCTGAGTTTTAAGACTATGATCCAAATAACAGTATATACCTTCATAACTTCATATTATTTTTATTTGGTCAGAAAACAAAACCTTTACAATCTATGAGTTGTTCAATTTTAAATATTCATAGACAAAGACCAACAATTTCATTGCTACTCCGGCAATCACCAAAGCTAATTGTTGGTTCTCAAATCACATTGATGACAAGCAAATTTATAAGTTAAAATTAGCTTCATTAATTAATCATTCGTCAACATATTTTCCAATCTGACAGTTCACAGAATAGAATCTACAGAACAATATGAACGTTTACATAGTTGTGATCATGCTAATAGATGGCATAAAGGTATACTCCATACACCTTAAAAATAAATATCACAAATCAAAAAAAAAAAAAAAAAAAAAAAAAAAAAAAAAAAAAAAGGGTTGAAAACTGGAGATGTTCATTGGCACTGTAAACAAACATAAGTCATCTTTATTGGAAAAGTTTAGCTATTGAAAGTTTTTAAATTAAAATATCTCAGTATCTTGTTGTCTTTGTGGATTATCAAAATGTACCGAATTTTCAGAAAATCCGCTCAGTGTTGTTGAATTACTGGGCCTTCCTCCCGAGTTATCCAGGTCAACCTCTCCAGCAATTGGCTAATTATTAGGTCCGGTCATCGGACCTAAATTTGTGTCCGGATTTGTGTGCTTTTCATGCGCTTTTGTTGTATTTTTGCAAAAAAACAGCTAATTCATAATTTTAATTGCATATTAGCTACTTTTTTTTTTGTTGAGTAATTACAAAATAAAGCAAAAAACATAGTAAAAATGCATCAAATATCTTACTCATTAAGTATTTGCTGTCCTTTTTTTGCGCTTTTCATGAGTTTTTCAAATACTCAGTAAAAGGGCAACAAAAGGGCCGCAAAAGGACTGCCTTTTTGCAAAAATACATCAAAAGCGTATGAAAAGCGCACAAATCCGGACACAAATTTAGGTCCGGTGTCCGGACCTAATAATTTCCCCTAGCAATCTAGCCTTCTCAACAACATCATGAGAGACACTTACTAAGCAACCTCTTTAATAGAGCTATCAAACTTCCTCTTTCAAAGCCAAACAACTCGAACCTTCTTAGCAACCTCTCCTTGAGAACCCGACACTCTCAAACTATTTGAAACTCTACCTCTCTTAGGCTTCGTTTTGGACGGCTTTCTTGCTGCTTCTTAAAGCAGCTTTTTAGCACAAAAATTAAAACTTTTGCGCTAAAAAACAGCTTTAAGAATCAGCAAGAAAGCCATCCAAAACAAAGTCTTAGTATATTCGACAGGCTCCTCCTATTCTCTCGGCTTCCCCTTTCAAGAGTATAACAAAGGTGTGCTGATGCGGAGCATTTTTAGCTTATAATGTCCCTTAGGTTATTTTATTTAATTGTTACAAGTTTTCTAGAATCTTCTAGGATTTTCTAGGTTTTCCTTACTTTAGTATTATATATAGGGAATGTGTAAGAGGAAAGAAACTCATTGATGAACCTTATGACATTTTGAAGCTTTGAAGCTTATGTTTACCTTTATTCCTTGAATTGGGATTACATTCCTTCAAGCATCCTCTTCTTCCAACGATCAATCTACATCACTTTGGTATCAGAGCCTAGAGCTTGCGAAGAACGATGAACTACATAAGAAGGTGGACTGTCAACGACGATTGAAGCCGAAGAATAAGATTGGCGGTCGACGATGATCGACGCCAAAGAAGGGAGGTTGTCGATGATGATCGAAGCCGTATAGCCTTCAATCAAGCTCAAGTGAAAGCA